CAGTCCCTCCAGTGTGTACTGGTCGGTATCACCATACCAGTCCCTCCAGTGTGTACTGGTCGGTATCACCATACCAGTCCCTCCAGTGTGTACTGGTCGGTATCACCATACCAGTCCCTCCAGTGTGTACTGGTCGGTATCACCATACCAGTCCCTCCAGTGTGTACTGGTCGGTATCACCATACCAGTCCCTCCAGTGTGTACTGGTCGGTATCACCATACCAGTCCCTCCAGTGTGTACTGGTCGGTATCACCATACCAGTCCCTCCAGTGTGTACTGGTCGGTATCACCATACCAGTCCCTCCAGTGTGTACTGGTCGGTATCACCATACCAGTCCCTCCAGTGTGTACTGGTCGTTATCACCATACCAGTCCCTCCAGTGTGTACTGGCCGGTATCACCATACCAATCCCTCCAGTGTATACTGTCACACCCACCGCAGAGAGTACCATAAAAGCCACCTCCAGTAGAGTCATGGCTGCAGGTACTTGGAGGTGACTCGCCAGTCTTGACGTCGTTATAGCGGCTGGTCGGGAAAATTTGGTTGGTCGCGTTATTAGTGGGAAGAATATGTCGGTGTTGTGTCGTGTTGCTAATTTTTTGAGTTTTGGAGAACACTCTGCCCTTCGCATCGACCTGTAAAGACGAAATGAATAGAAGACTTATGTTGCAAGAAATTATTAATGATGGTATTGCACTGCAAGATTAAATATTCGCGATTGCAGATTCTATAAGCATGCAGGAAAACCCCACCAATAACCCATTTATGAACCCACTTATAACCTTACTAATAACCTCACTGATAGCCTCATTAATAACCCCACTGATAACCTCATTGACAACCCCACTGACAACCCCACTGATAACCCACACTTTCAGTACCTGTATCATCGTATATTCGATGGGTTTTTAAATCTAATAATAATAATAATAATAATAATAATAATAATAATAATAAAATAGGAATAATCTTTAAGAAAAATATTCTATTTTTTAGTTAACGCCCAACATGATGTAAGTTATCCCCGAAGAGTCTCTCTCCTCTTCTCTTTTTAGAGGACAACAGCGACACCGAGTTTGATTCTTTTACTTCGCAACAATAGTAACGTAGCCCAACAATGTTACAATTGACCTCCTGTGGAATCACTGACTAAACAGAGCTAAGAGTTCTCAGGATAGACTTGGTTTTATTTAGGAAAGGTGATGTGAATTAGGTTAGGTAAGGTTTGTCAGGAAACAGGACAAGTGCTTCCTGACGGGGGTCTTAGTTATTTGATGCTCCTCAGCTGGAGCCTTTGGTCATCTGACCGAGGCCTTCCACTGGCTTATGTGAATGTCCAGGTCATCTATGTATCCTGGTTTAGAGTAGGTTTATCTGGTCTGTATTGTATCTTCCATTATACTTAGCCCAACACACAGACAACATCAACTTCATTATGTGTAGTAGTGACTATACCCTACATGACCAAAATACTCTAGCTATATACTTGTCCAAACTTCCAACCACTACAGATATCAGTAGTAGAACTCAACACACAATACAGGATATAAATAACCATAATTTTAAACCTAGAAGATGATTGATCACGTTGACCCTGATCTAAACCTCCATAATCTGACACCCAATCAAAACCTATTGGAAAGTAACTGCCTTTATTACACAGCATCACAAGCCACCACTATCCTAAACAATGCTAAAAGTCTATCAGTACTAAACTACAACATCAGGTCCTTAAGCAAACACTATGATGACCTCCTAGCACTCCTTGAATCACTAAAGACACCCTTCTCCTGCATTATTCTTACTGAGACCTGGCTTAAGCAGGACACAATAGATATCTACCCTCTACCAGGATACACAGCAATTCACAACTGCAGAACAAACCAAGTTGGGGGTGGTATTGCAATCTATTACTCTAACCAATTATCTTGTCTTAGCACCACTTGCTTTAGTGATGAATATGGGGAATACATTTTTGCTAATTTTACTGTAAAAACTTAAGACGCCTATAACAATTCGGTGCCATTTACCGGATACCTCAAACAAACATCCCAAATTTCAGTGAGAAATTAAAGTCACTAATAACAAACAGACAAATGAATAAGCACCACCTTCTCTTAGCTGGAGACTTCAACATCAACCTTGGCTTACTAGATGATCAGCCTGTAACTGATTTCATCAACAATATGAACAACACACTTCTCATCCCAACAATAACTAAACCAACCAGGCTCACTGAGACAAGTGCAACCATAATAGACCACATATGGACCAATATACTAGCCCCCCTTAAATCAGGGATAATCACAGATAGCACTACAGACCACTACACTACCTTCCTCCTGACAAACATTAGTAAACCACCACTTGAATACAACAAAGTCTCATTTAGACTCCATGACGAGGCCTCAGTAAGGAAGTTCACAGCTGACCTAGAGACTGTTGATTGGCCTACAGAATTCTCCAAGGCCAATGGTATTGATGACTGGACAGACATCTTTCTTAACAAATTACTTAGACTATACAACAAACATTGTCCTATAAAAACAAAACAGATCACAAACAAACGGCTTGGTTGCCCATGGCTAACCAGCACCATTCTGAAATCCATTGACAAGAAACACCAATATGAAAAGCAATATAGACAGGGCTTAATACACAAAGATATTCTTAAACACTATTCATCAGCTCTCACCAAAGTAATAAAAAAAGCCAAACAAACTATACTACTCCAGTAGATCCACAGACACTAGAGGAGATATAAAAAAGACCTGGAAAACACTCTCTCAGATTCTAGGGACCCACAAACTGAGAAAAAACCAAGAATATTGTCCTAACTAAACCTAATGAAACACCACTACATCCCACTGACACAGCTAACAAGATAAACGACTTCTTCTCAAACATAGGATCTAATCTCGCCAGTAAAATCCCACATACCAATGCCCATGCCGGGGACTACCTAGATGGAAATTTCCCTAATTCCTTCTATCTTGCACCAACTGAGCCCACGGAAGTCATTGAGATCATAAAGTCACTTAAAAAAAAACTCGGGGAATCTGTCTCATGTCCCACCATTACTGTACAAGCGAGCGGCCCATGTCCTTTCGCATGCTATTTCATTACTTTTTAACAAGTCAATAGAGACTAGCACATTCCTGAAACTACTCAAGATGGCAAGGGTTACACCAATACATAAAGGTGGTGACCCTACAGACTTAAACAACTATAGGCCAATATCTAACTTACCATTGCTATCCAAAATCTTTGAGAAACTTGTGCACAGGAGACTGTATTCATTTATAATGGCTCAAAACATACTCAACCCCTGCCAGTTTGGATTCAGGAAAAATAAAAGCACTAATGATGCAATCATAAAAATGCTAGATCTGCTTTACACAGCACTGGAAAATAAGGAATATCCACTAGGAATTTTTATTGACCTAAGAAAAGATTTTGACACAGTAAACCACGAAATCCTACTCCACAAACTTGACCACTACGGTATAAGAGGCCATGCGCTTGCTTATTTCAAATCTTACATTACTAATAGGTATCAGTACGTCACCATTAAAGACACAGCATCAGCAACACGGCCACTTGATACTGGAGTTCCGCAGGGAAGTGTCCTTGGTCCCCTGCTCTTCCTCATATACATCAATGACCTACCAAACGTATCCCAACACCTAAAACCCATTCTCTTTGCTGATGACACGACTTATGTCATCTCTCACCCTAATCTTGCCACCCTTAACACCATTGTGAATGAGGAGCTGACTAAAATATCGACTTGGATGACAGCCAACAAACTTACGCTTAACACTGACAAAACTTACTATATTATGTTTGGTAGCAGAGCAGGAGATGCACAAATTAACATTAAGATTGACAACACTCTAATTACCAGAAATAATGGGGGAAAATTCTTAGGCTTATACCTTGACAATAACCTGAATTTCAGCACCCATATCCAGCATATAGCCAAAAAAGTATCCAAAACGGTTGGGATCCTCTCCAAGATACGATACTACGTGCCGCAAAATGCCCTTCTCACACTATACCACTCACTTATTTATCCATACCTCACCTATGCTATTTGTGCTTGGGGATCAACTGCAGCAACACACCTAAAGCCAATAATAACCCAACAAAAAGCTGCAGTAAGAATAATCACTAAAATCCCATCCCTGGCAGCACACCCCCCACTCTTCAAAGATCTAAACTTACTCCCAGTTCAGTACATCCACACTTACTACTGTGCAATCTATATCTACAGGGCCTTAAACTCTAATATCAACCTTGACCTTAAACGCTTTCTTGATAGTTGTGACAGAACCCACAGGCATAACACCAGAAACAAACATCTCTACGACATTCCCCGTGTCCGACTAAACCTTTACAAAAATTCAATGTATGTCAAAGGCCCTAAAATCTGGAATACTCTACCTGAGAACTCTAGAACTGCAGACACATTCATCACCTTCAAAACTACCATTAGAAACATCTTATCTCCCTGATACACCCCGTCAACTAACTTCACGAATACCACCTGGTGGTTCACACTTACACTCGCACACTCATTTGACCATAAACAGAAATATTAATCTCAGTCTTAATATAATGAATCCTGTGATACTCCAATACTGAAACTATATACTGTGCCAAAACAAAAGCATTCACACTGCTAAACTCACAAAATAGTATTTAGTCGCTTAGCCATAATACCAACTTACCTCATAATTTGTAATATTTTACATTTAAGAATAAAACTAAGTATGCCCGAAATGCCTAGCCATGCTAAGCGTTCTAGTGGTACACTCTGTAATCTCAATTTTACTACATGTTAAACCAAACAATAACCAAATTTCTGTAAACTCAGCATTGTAATCCTTATAGAGAATAAACTTTGAATTTGAATTTGAATTTGAAAATATAAATTTATTGAATAATCTGAATGATAATAATACATTTCTTCAGATATTGATTGTACCATTGCAGATGGGTGATGGATGGCGTGGAAGGCAGCAGAGGTAAGAGCAGGAACAGCAGAAACAGAGGCAGCAGGAGCAGCAGAGAGTACATCAGAAGTGGTAGCAGAGCAAGAAACAACAGCACCAGCAAAGGCAGTACCAGTACCGGTAGCAGAATCAGTATTGGCAGCAGTACCAGCAGAGGCAGTAAAACAGCAGAGCAGCAACAGAGGGGCAGAAGCAGCAGCACTAGTACCGGCAGCAGCACGAGTAGAGGCAGTATCATCAGTACCAGCAGAGGCAGTAGCAGCACCACCAGCAGAGACAGTAGAAGCACCACCAGTACCGGCAGTAGCACCAGCAGACGCAGTAGCACCAGCACCAGCACCAGCACCAGCAGAGACAGTAGCAGCAGCACCAGCAGAGGCAGTAGCAGTAGCACCAGCAGAAGCAGTAGCAACAGCACCGGTGCCGGCAGCAGCAAACGCGGCAGGACCAGCAGAGGAAGAAGTAGCAGCAGCAGAGGTAGCAGCACCATCAGATGCAGCACCGAGCAGATGCAACACCAGCAGCAGATGCAGCACCAGCAGCAGATGCAGCACCAACAGCAGAGGCAGCACCAGCAACATATACCAGGGTGTGACGTCTTCTTTCACTACTTTCAACTCTGCTTTCTAATCAACACATTCTCTCCAGCAGAGGTCGAGGTCTTCAGTATATGTGAAGACGATTCTTGAAGCTGTTGGTTTACCTGGATTTACCTGGAGAGAGTTCCGGGGGTCAACGCCCCCGCGGCCAAGTCTGTGACCAGGCCTCCTTAGGTCAGTGTCCCAGGATGCGACCCACACCAGTCGACTAACACCCAGGTACCAAATTTTTCTGATGGGGAACATAGACAACAGGTGGAAAGAAGCACGTCCAATGTTTCTACTCTGGCTGGGAATCGAACCCAGGCCCTCGCCGTGTGAAGCGAGAGCGATAACCACCAGGCCAGGGAGAGTAAGACAAGTGTTGCAGCTGTTGGTACCTTCACTTCCTGCAGGGAGAGTAAGACAAGTGTTGCAGCTGCTGGAACCTTTACTTCCTGCAGGAAGAGTAAGACAAGTGTCGCAGCTGTTGGTACCTTTACTTCCTGCAGGGAGAGTAAGACAAGTGTTGCAGCTGTTGGTACCTTTACTTCCTGCAGGAAGAGTTTAAAAAAGTGTGCAGCTGTTGGTACCTTCACTTCCTGCAGGAAGAGTAAGACAAGGGTTGCAGCTGTTGGTACCTTCACTTTCTGCAGGAAGAGTAAGACAAGTGTTGCAGCTGTTGGTAAACTTTACTTCCTGCAGGGAGAGTAAAGACAAATGTTGCAGCTGTTGGTACCTTTACTTCCTGCAAAGAAGAGTAAGACAATTGTTGCAGCTGTTGGTACCTTCCTGCAGGGAGGGTAACATGAGTGTTGCAGCTGTTGGTACCTTCCTGCAGGGAGGGTAACATGAGTGTTGCAGTGTTTGGGACCTTCACTTCCCGCAGGAAGAGTAAAAAAAAGTGTTGCAAACTGTTGGTATCTTTACTTCCTGCAGGAAGAGTAAGACAACTGTTGCAGCTGTTGGTATCTTTACTTCCTGCAGGAAGAGTAAGACAAGTGTTGCAGCTGTTGGTACCTTCACTTCCTGCAGGAAGAGTAAGACAAGTGTTGCAGCTGTTGGTACCTTCACTTCCTGCAGGAAGAGTAAGACAAGTGTTGCAGCTGTCGGTACCTTCACTTCCTGTAGGAAGAGTTAGACAAGTGTTGCAGCTGTTGGTACCTTTGCTTCCTGCAGGGAGAGTAAGACAAGTGTTGGAGCTGTTGGTACCTTCACTTCCTGCAGGGAGAGTAAGACAAGTGTTGCAGCTGTTGGCACCTTCCTGCAGGGAGGGTAACATGAGTGTTGCAGCTGTTGGTACCTTCACTTCCGGCAGGAAGAGGAAGACAAGGGTTGCAGCTGTTGGTACCTTCACTTCCTGCAGGGAAGGTAAGACAAAATGTTTCAGCTGTTGGTATCTTTATTCCTGCAGGAAGAGTAAGACAAGTGTTGCAGCTGCTGGTACCTTTACTTCCTGCAGGAAGAGTAAGACAAGTGTCGCAGCTGTTGGTACCTTTACTTCCTGCAGGGAGAGAAAGACAAGTGTTGCAGCTGTTGGTACCTTTACTTCCTGCAGGGAAAAGTAAGACAAGTGTTGCAGCTGTTGGGTACCTTTTATTCCTGCAGGAAGAGTAAGACAAGGGTTTTGCATTTTTGAGGTGCGGGTTTCATGTTGGACCCTTACTTCCTGCAGGGAGAGTAAGACAAGTGTTGCAGCTGTTGGTACTTACTTCCTGCAGGGAGAGTAAGACAAGTGTTGCAGCTGTTGGTATCCTTCCTGCGGAAGAATAAGACAATGTTGGCAGCTGTGGTACCTTCCTGCAGGGGGAAATAGAAAATGTTGCAGCTGTTGGTACCTTCACTTCCTGCAGGAATAGTTAGACAAGTGTTGCAGCTGTTGGTACCTTTGCTTCCTGCAGGGAGAGTAAGACAAGGGTTGCAGTGTTGGTACCTTTACTTCCTGCAGGAAGAGTAAGACAAGGTTGCAGCTGTGGTACCTTCACTTCCTGCAGGAAGAGTTAGACAAGTGTTGAGCTGTTGGTATTTTCTTCCTGCAGGGAGAAATAAGACAAGTGTTGCAGCTGTTGGTACCTTTACTTCCTGCAGGAATAGTTAAAAAAGGGGTTGCAGCTGTTGGTACCTTTCTTCCTGCAGGAAAAGTAAAACAAGTGTGCAGTGTTGGTACCTTACTTCCTGCAGGGAAAAGTAAGACAAGGGTTGCAGCTGTTGGTACCTTTACTTCCCGCAGGAAGAGTAAGCAAGTGTTGCAGCTGTTGGTACTTTTTCTTCCTGCAGGAGAGTAAGACAAGTGTTGCAAGCTGTTTGGACCTTTACTTCCTGCAGGAAAAGTAAGACAAGTGTTGCAGCTGCTGGTACCTTTACTTCCTGCAGGAAGAGTAAGACAAGTGTGCAGCTGTGGGACCTTTACTTCCTGCAGGGAAAAGTAAGACAAGTGTTGCAGCTGTTGGTACCTTTACTTCCTGCAGGGAAAAGTAAGACAAGTGTTGCAGCTGTTGGTACCTTTACTTCCTGCAGGAAAAGTAGACAAGTGTTGCAGCTGTTTTGGGACCCTTTCTTCCCGCAGGAAAAGTAAGACAAGGGTTGCAGCTGTTTACCTTTACTTCCTGCAGGAAGAGTAAGACAAGTGTTGCAGCTGTGGTACTTTCTTCCTGCAGGAGAGTAAGACAAAGTGTTGCAGCTGTTGGTACCTTTACTTCCTGCAGGAAGAGTAAGACAATTTTTGCAGCTGTTGGGACCCTTCCTGCAGGGAGGATAAGGGCAAGTGTTGCAGCTGTTGGTATTCCTTTCCCGCAGGGAGGGTAAACAAGGGTTGCAGCTGGGTTTGGCTCCTTCACTTTCCCGCAGGAAGAGTAAGACAAGTGTGTTCAGCTGTTTGGTACTTACTTCCTGCAGGGAGGTAAGACAAGTGTTGCAGCTGTTGGTAACCTTACTTCCTGCAGGAAGAGTAAGACAATTGTTGCAGCTGTTGGTACACTTCCTGCAGGGAGATTAAAACAAGTGTTGCAGCTGTTGTACCTTCCTGCAGGGAGGTAAACAAGTGTTGCAGCTGTTGGTACCTTTTACTTCCTGCAAGGGAAAAGTTAACAAGTGTTGCAGCTGTTTGTACCTTCTTCCCGCAGGAAGTGTTTAAAACAAGTGTTGCAGCTGTTGGTACCCTTTTTTTCCTGCAGGAAGAGTAAGACAAGGTTGGGAGCTGTTGGTACCTTCACTTCCTGCAGGGAGAGTTAGGCAAGTGTTGCAGTGTTGGTATTTTACTTCCTGCAGGGAAAAGTAAGACAAGTGTTGCAGCTGTTGGTACCTTCACTTCCTGCAAAAAGAGTAGACAAAGGTGTTGCAGTGTTGTACCTTCCTGCAGGGAGGGTAGACAAGTGTTGCAGCTGTTGGTACCTTCACTTCCTGCAGGAAGAGTAAGACAAGGTTGCGCTGTTGGTACCTTACTTCCTCAGGGAAAAGTAAGACAAGTGTTGCAGCTGTTGGTATCTTTACTTCCTGCAGGAAAAGTAAGACAAGTGTTTGCAGCTGTTTTACCTTACTTCCTGCAGGAGAGTAAGACAAGTGTTGCAGCTGTTGGACTACCTTCTGCAGGGAGGGTAAACAAGTGTTGCAGCTGTTGGTACCTTTACTTTCTGCAGGAAGAGTAAGACAATGGGTTTCAGCTGTTGTACCTTCACTTCCTTCAGGAAGAGTAAGACAAGTGTTGGAGTGTTGGTTCTTACTTCCTGCAGGGGGAGTAAGACAAGTGGTTGCAGCTGTGGTACTTTACTTCCTGCAGGAGAGTAAGACAAGTGTGCAAACTGTTGGTACCTTTACTTCCTGCAGGAGGGTAAGACAATTGTTGCAGCTGTTGGTACCTTTCTTCCTGCAGGGAGTAAGACAAGTGGTTTCAGCTGTTGGTACCTATTCCTGCAGGGGGAAAGGGAAACAGAGGTGGAGCTGTTGGACCTTCACTTCCTGCAGGAAGAGTAAGACAAGTGTTGCAGCTGTTGGTATCTTTACTTCCTGCAGGGAGAGTAAGACAAGTGTTGCAGCTGTTGGTACCTTCACTTCCTGCAGGGAAGAGTAAGACAATTTTTGCAGCTGTTGGTACCCCCTTTCCCGCAGGGAAAAATAAGACAATTTTTGCAGCTGTTGGTACCTTCCTGCAGGGAGGGTAAACAAGTGTTGCAGCTGTTGGGACCTTCTTTGCAGGAGAGGGAAGAGTGTTTCAGCTGTTGGTTTCCTTTACTTCCTGCAGGAGAGTAAGACAAGTGTTGCAGCTGTTGGTACCTTCCTGCAGGGAGAAAGACAAGTGTTGCAGCTGTTGGTATCCTTCCTGCAGGGAGGTAAACATGAGGTTGATTCCTGGGGATTAAAATTCACTTACCTTTTCAGGAGAGTAAGGGAACAGTGTTCAGCTGTTGGTACCTTCATTCCTGCAGGAGGTAAGACAAGTGTTGAGCTGTTGGTACCTTACCCGCAGGGAGAATAAAACAAGTGTTGAGCTGTTGGTACCCTTTCCCGCAGGAGGGTAAAAATGAGTGTTCAGCTGTTGGTACCTTCAATTCCCGCAGGATAGTAAGACAAGTGTTGCAGCTG